GTCTTCACATTGACAGTAGATATCTTACAAGAGTAACAATTCAATTTGCATTTCAATTCAGCTTGTAGGAGGATGAGATTCTAGCTTTTATTTTAAATAATTTCCTTCCTGCAGCTACAAGAAGTAACCTTCAGGGCACACATAGAAGCTTTCTGGTCATTCAAATCCCCAAGCTCATCTTTTCCTCTCCCTACTTTGTCCAGAAAAATTAAGAGCAACTAGCTAATTTCATTTTATTATTTAGTTTGCCAAAAATGTTCCAAAGTATCTTATACACAGTTACTCAGATCCTTCTAGTAAGTGGTTGATTAGCAGAATCTAATGATAATATTTTTTTGTATCTATACAGTCAGATCATGCTTTCTTTACTAGTAGAAATAGTCATTACCACCTTTAAATCTAATCACATTAGTGATACAATCTCAGAAATCTCAAACCAATTAATTAAAAGAAAAACTCATTCTTAAAATTGTGTTCCTTCTAGAACCACTCTGGGTACCAAAATCTGAATTAGGGGTTTCCAGAGAAACAGAAGTATTATGATATATATGTATATGTATATATGTACACACATATATATACATATACTATATATATACTATATATATTAAATATATATATATATATATATATATATATATATATATATATAAAATCAATGGAGAGAGAGAGAGAAAGAGAGAGACAGAAAGAGAGATTTATAAGAAATTGGTTCAGTTGGTTATGGAGGTTGACAAGTCCCAGACTCTGAAGTCAGCAATATAAAGTTATAGGAAGATCTGATGACACAGTTACAGTCAGCATATGAAGGCCTCAGAACCAGAAGAGTTAATGTACTGTCTAGTCTGAATGCCAGCAAGCCTAAAACCCTGAAAAAGCCAATATTTCAGTTTGAGTCCAAAGGTAGGGGAAAGGAAAAAAAGAATGTCTCAGTTCAAAGGTCAAGAAGCCAGAATTGTTCCCTCTTACTCACAGGAAGGTCAACCTTTTGTTTTATTCAGGTCTTCACTGATTAGATGAGGCCCACCCAGAATAGGGAAAGCAATCTGCTTTTCTAAGTTTGGTGATTCAGATGTTAATCTCATCCAGAAACACCCTTGTAGACACACCCAGAATAAATAATGTTTTTCTAAATGTCTGGTTACTTTATGTCTTAGTCATGTTGACACATAAAATTAAACAGTATATTATATCTATATCTATATATCTATCTCTATCTCTACCTCTACCTCTCTCTCTCTCTCTCTATATATATATATATGTATATATATATATATATATATATATATATATATATAATCATCTATATCAATATCTTTAATCTCCTATTTGTTTTTGTTTCTCTGGAGAACCCTGACTGATAGAGCTTTGGTACTGAGAAATGGGGTTCACTACAACAATTACCTAAAATTGTGGAATTTGCTTTGGAATTGAGTAATGTATAAAACCTGAAAGAATTTTGAGGCTTGTGATAGAAAAAAAACAAAAGTATGTTGAGGAGACCATTTGTGCAAATAGGGGTCTTCAAGGCGATCCTGGTGGGAGCAGACGACAACGCGGTGTGTGGTGAAGAACGCTCCCATCACCTTAGGGAACATGTATCCCCATGAACAGTGTGTTGGTTGAAATATGACATTAAAGGAGTTTCTGTGGAGGTGTCCAAAGGAAATGAGGAGCCTGTTACTGCACACTGGAGGAAGGGCAATCCGCATGTACAGGGGCAAACCTTGCCTTCCTTATGCTCTCCTGGCTGGAGAGTGGTACTTGGAAGTGATAAACTTGGTACTTGGATGTGCAGTGAGATTTCCAAGTAAAGTGTGAAATGTTCAGTCTGGTGTATCCTTACTACTTATACTGAAATGTGAGAAGAATGAGATAAATGAGGATACAAGTGTTGAGCAGAAAGAAACCAGAATATTATGATTTGGAAAACTCTTAGCATGTCCAGATAGCAGGCTCTGAGCCAAACGTGTGGCAGTAAAACGTTTGATGAGGAGATTAGGTTTACGACGCCTGGGTGCAGTCAAGCAGCTCAGCAGACGTGGTGGGGGCGCTCATGGAAGGGTCTGTGCAGAACCCCGTTGAGTAGTAGCACGGCTTCCCGCACAGACATGGGGCTGACGAGGTTTCCAGAATGTTGTGTCAGGGGAACTGCAGGCCTAGACTGCAAGGGACAGAACCAGGAGGAAACGTGGAAAGGCTGTCCGACCTCAGGGATTCTGCAGCAGGAAGCAGGCGGGTGGAGCTACTCGTACCAACACGAGCTTCCTCAGCAAAAGGAACCACTACCAGGGCAGAGCTATGAATGTGAGGTAGAGAAGCCACGGAGACCAGTGCTGACTTGGCCTCCTGGGCCCAGATTGAGGCAAAGAGGTTCATTTTCTGAACATAAAAAAGAATGGGCTTTTCCCTTCTGGGTTTCAGGTTGCTTGAGACCAGCAACTCTTTTATTCCCTCCCGTTTTTCCCTTCATAATGGAAATGTCCATTCTATGCCTGCTTCATCTTTTTTTTTTTTTTTAAACAGATAATTTGCTTTTTTTTTTTCTCGTGTCCATAGATAATGAGGAATTTTGTTCCCAGGTAAACCATACCCAGAGTCTCATTTATACCTGATTTAAAGTATTTAAATCATGGGATTTGAAAATGTCTGAGTTGATGATATTTATAAGAAATGTACTTGGAGTTAATGCCAGAGTGGACTAAGAATGTCGGGGACATTAGAATGGGGTGAATGTATTTTGCACATGGGACAAATGAGACTTTTGACAGGCAGATGTCAAAACTTATTGAATTGAGCAGTATCCTCCCAAAATTCATGTCTCCCTGCAACCTCAGAACGTGACCTTGCTTGGAAACAGACTCTTTGCAGATGCTATGAAGTTAAAATGAGATTATACGAGATTTGGGTGAACACCAAATCCAAAGACAGTAAATAACAGGAGAGATAGATTTGGGCACAGAGCCACGTCCTGGGACAAGTCCCCGTGAAGACTGGGGCACAGACTGGAGTGATGCAGCCGCCAGCCCAGGGCAACAAAGGTTACAGGGAACCACCAACGCTAGGAGCTGGCAAGGACAGAGGCTTCCCTGGGGCCTTCAAGAGAGAGCAGGGCCCTGACCAACCTGAGTTCCAGCTTCTCGTCTCCAGAATGTGAGAAAATACATTCTGTTGTGAGCCATTCAGTTCGTGGGACTTTGTTATGGCAGCCACGGGACCCTAAAAGAGAAGGAGCATGTCTATAATTTCCTGCACATTAACAATTTTGTTCAAAATATTTATTTCACCTGTGAGAATACACACACACACAAATTCATTCTGCTTTCAGATTAAAATGTATATATAGAGAGATACAGCTACAGGTATAGGGAGAGAGAGAGAGAGAGAGAGAGAGAGAGAGAGAGAGAGGTCTTAATCTGGAATCAGACACAGTGAATCCATCCAACCTGACCTTCCATTTCTTACTTCGCTTCTTGGGAAAAGGCATCATGGCCACAAAACATTTGCCAGCTTCTCATCTTTCCAGAGAAGTCTGGAGGGTACAAACTTCCTGTGCGTGAAGTAAGTCCATTCATTTTACAAAAAGCAATTGAGAACATGCCCTAACATAACACATCATACAATATTTGTAACTTGCCCTGGCCGGTGTCTCAGTGGTTAGAGCATCGGCCCTTGGACCAAAGAGTCACAGGTTCGATTCTGGTCGAGGGCATGTACCTCGGTTGCAGTTTGTCCCCGGCCCTGGTTGGGTTGTGCGGGAGGCAACCAGTCGATGTGTCCCTCTCACATCGATGTTTCTTTCTCTCTCTCCCGCTCTGTCTGAAAATAAATAGAAAAATATTCTTGGGTGAGGATTAAAAAAAAAATTTGTAACTTCTCTACAGCATTCAGGATACAAATCTGAGCCACCTCTCGTCCCTGCTTTCCCTCTTCCTCTCTCCCATATTGTCTAGTGTGTTGCTGAAGCCACAGCTGGTAAGACCGGTAAGTGTGGCCGAGTGGCAGGGACCAGGTGCTCTGCCTGCTACCGATGGTCAGTGTCACAAACGGCACAGAGAGGCTGTAGCAACCTCCAGACTCAAGGACACTAAACAGACAGAACAACTCAAGGCAGTAATATACCTGATCTAGGTTGGACCCCTACTGGAAGGGTTGAACAATACAAGGATCTGATTCGTGAGTTGGCAACACTGGATGCAGACACGAAAGTACTGTATCAACATAAAATTTACTGCTGAGTGTGTACCAAATAGACTACTGGGGTCTTCTCCTTCCTCCCTCCTGCTTTTCCTGTCAGTTGTTCAAAAATTAAATGGGTTTTAGGTCCAGACTGAACCTTTGAGGGTTTTAATTCTTCATACAACGTAAGTGTGTGAACATGTTATGGGAAGTCAGGAGTATGACACGATGTAAGATGACACTTACACCAACCCCTTCCACTCCACCCAGTGGTGCCTCCCTCTTCCCCGCCACCATCTTCATTCCTGCCACCGCTGACCCCGCCCCCGGCCCTGCCCTTACCCGCTGACATCATCAGGGTGGCCTCTGCCACGTCACAAAGCAGATCCCCTGCTGCTGCCAGGCCCCGGCGAGGACGGCAGGGACGAGCGGCAGGAGCAGGCGGCCCTGAGCAGCGGAGTCTCCGGCGAGGACAGCCGGGAGGTGGTGGCAGCGGCGGCCCCGGGAGCGGAGCCAGCGGCGTGCAAGACTCAGGTGACCAGGAAGCATCTGTCCAGCCGGTCCCAGGGCTCTTTCCTCAGCCCTCTCTCCCCACCGGCCCTGCCCCCACCACCGGCCCTGTCCCCTGTCCCCGGCCCTGTCCCCTGTCCCCGGCCCTGTCCCCTGTCCCCACCACCCCTGGCCCCTCCCCACCTGACCCGACCTGAGCCCACCTGTTCCCTGACCCACCTGTCCCCTGACCCGGAGGGTGGCGTCCCTGACCGGGTCCCCACTTTCTCTCGCAGGACCTGGGACGAAGGTCGGCCATGGCGCAGTCTCTGGCCGCGAGACGCCTGCAGAAGGAGTACCTCGACCTTTCTCTGAACCCCCCCGAGCTGTGCTCCGCGGGGCCCCTGGAGGACGACATGTTCACGTGGCAGGGGGTGATCATAGGGCCCCAGGACAGCCCCTACGATGGGGGGGTCTTCTTCTTGTCCATCCTATTCCCCCAGGATTACCCCTTCAAACCGCCCAAAGTCCACTTTAACACCCGCATCTTCCACCCCAATATCAACAAAGCTGGATGTGTCTGCGTGGACATCCTGACCACCGACTGGTCGCCCGCCCACACAATTTCCGAGGTGTTGCTGTCCATCAGGTCCACGTTATCCCAACCTAATTTGCAAAATATCCTGGTTCCAGAAACTACTAAGATTTACCTAAAGGACAGGTCAAAGTATGAGTTAGTGGCTCGAACGTGGACGAGGAAATATGCTATGTGATTGAAAAATGAATGATAAGACCCTCACCCCAATAAAACAGTTCCTTCCCTTGGTTGTCTCGGACTGCTCTCTAGGACCGCCGTTCCCGTGTTCCTGGGCGCGTTGTACACCGTCCCCAGCAGGGGTGGGGGCCATGGGGGTGGGGGGGCCCTGGGGGTGGGGGCCCTGGGGGTGGGGGCTATGGGAGTTGGGGTGCCCTGGGGATTGGAGGCCATAAGGGTGGGAGCCACGAGAGTGGATGCTATGGGGGTGGAGGTACCCTGGGGGTGGGGGTGCCCTGGGGATGGGAGGCCATAAGGGTGGGGCTATGGGGGTGGGGGTGCCCTGGGGGTTGGAGCTATGAAGGTTGGGGGCCCTGAGGGTGGGAATCCTGGGGGTGGGGGCTATGGGGTGGGGGGGCATTAGTGGTGAGGAACCTGGGGGTGGGGACTATGGGGGTGAAGGAGTTCTGGGGGTGGGGGAGCACGGGACCCTGGAGGTGGGTGGCCCTGGGAGTTGGGGCCCTGAGGTGGGGGATCCCTGGAGGTGGGGGCCCTGGGGGTGGGGAACACAGGAGTGGAGACCCTGGGGGTGGAGGGACCTGAGGGGGCCCTGGGGGTGGGGAATATGGAGGTGGGGGGCATTGGGGGTGGGGAACCTGGGGGTGGGGGCCCTGGGGGTAGGGGAGCCATGGGGGGTGGGGAGCCACGAAGACGGGGTGCCCTAGGGGTGGGAACCATGGGCGTAGGGGTCATGGGGATGGGGTGCCCTAGGGGTGGGAACCATGGGGGTAGGGGTCATGGGGATGGGGTGCCCTGGGGGTGGGGGAATACGGGTGGGGGGTCCTGGGGGTGGGTGGGCCACAGAGGTGGAGGGATCATGGGCGTGGGGGAGCTTGGGGGTGAAGGAGCCATCTGGGCGGGACCTAGGGGTGGGATCCCTGGGCGTGGGAGGCCCTGGGGGTGGGGGTCATGGGTATAGGGGGCTCTGACAGTGGGGCACCCTGGGAGTGGGGTCCTGGGGGTGGAGTCCCTTGGGGAGGGGGAGCCACGGGGATAGAGGAGCCCTGGGGGTGGCAGTTATATGGATGAGGGGCCCTGGGGGTGGAGGAACACGAGTGAGGGGCCCTGAGGGCAGGGCCATAAGAGGGGGGATGATGGGAGTGGGGGCCTTGGGAGTGGGGGGCCCTTGGGGCCATAGGGGTAGGCTATCACGGGAGTGGGGGCCAATGGGGTTAGGGGAGCCACGGTGATGGGGTCCCTGGGGGTGAGGGAGCCAGAGGGTGGGAGACCACGGGGTTGGAGGGGCCACGGGCCTAGGGGAGCTTGAGGGTGAAGGAACCATCGGGGTGGGGGACCATGGGGGTAGGGGCCATGGGTGTAGGGGATCACAGGGGTGGGGGGCCATGGGGGTGGGAGAGCCACGGGGATGGGGGCCCTAGGGGTGGGGAACAGAGGTGGGGGGCCCTGGGGGCTGGGATCATAGAGGTGGGGTATCAAGGGAGTGGGGGCCCATGGGTTTGTGGGAGCCATGGTGATGGGGGACCCTGGGGGTGGGGGGCCACAGGGATGGGAGGAGCTTGGGGGTGAAAGAGCCATCCGGGTGGGGGACCATGGGGGTGGGGCAAGGTTGGGGGAGGGGGGTGTGAGACAGACCAGCGTTGATCCCCATTGGACCGAAAGCTTTCTCTGCTGATTGAGGAGGGACAGCAAGACCAGGGGGTGGAGTCTTCAGGACGAGGGGGCCGTCCCTCCAGTCAGTGGGATGACTGTCAGTGAGGATCCTTAGAGCTGACCACGGGGAGGACACACTGGGTGAAGACCACAGAGCTGACTAGGCATCGCTTCTATGCGGAAGAACCTGGGTCTTCGGTTCCTGTTTCTGACCAAGATCAGTAGGAACCCGTATCATCTACACCGAGATCTAAATTTAATGGGACAAAAATGAAGTGGATTAGGGGTTGGTACAAAACAAAGGGATGTGTTTTGCTCCCAGACGTCTCCACCTCCCGTACCTTCAGTCCCCACCTTTGACCACTCTGCGTGTCCCCCACTCTGGGGTGTACCCCACTTCTCAGGACACGTCTACTTCGACATAAGGACATTCAACCCCAGAGAATTTTATAAAAACGTATTTGAGCCAAACAGACGATACGCCTGGAAGCAAGATCTCAACAGACTGAAAAAAGTGCTTCTCACAATGACAGTCTGCAGCTCCTTTTACATATTTTAAATGAAGGAGAAAACACAGGGAAGATTACAGGATGGTGGGAGAAAGCAAGGGGGGAGTGGAGACAGGACAGTTACCAAACTGTGGGCTCTCCTGAGGGTGGTTCCCACATTTCAACGGTGTGTTAACCTAGATGCACAGAAACAGGTGTGTGACCCGAAATTGATTATTTAACACCTATGAACCTTAGTTTTTTCAAGTGATAAATGAGTGTATTGGGTCTTCTAGAAGAAGGAAGAAGAAGAAGAAGAAGAAGAAGAAGAGAAGAAGAAGAAGAAGAAGAAGAAGAAGAAGAAGAAGAAGAATAGTAGGGGGTCAATGGGGTAAAAATGGGGGGACATCTGTAATATTTTCAACAATAAGATAAATTTTTAAAAAAGATAAAGTGAGTCAAAGGGCAGTAGTACTAAGTATGTACTGCTTATTTGTTCTGTTGCATTATTTTGTTGATACTACTAAAATGTTGAACACAGCCAAGCATTTTCTGAAAGGTAAATATATCATAACCAATTAAATAATATTTTAATTATGTGTCATTCTGGCAGTCGGGGAGAAGCATTATTTTATGAAAAAAAATAACAACAAATGAATGTATCATTTAATAAAGATTTACCCGGGTAAATTAAAAATAGATAAATGAGAGCAGTATCTATAATACTTTCTAGAGTTTTAAAAATAAGATGAGTATGGAAAAAAACCTAACCTATACAGTTGCACAGGTATTGAATAATGGGAGTTGTCTTGGTTATTTCTCTTCATTACGCATATTCTTTTCAGACAACCTTGTGCTGGGCTGCCAGCAAGATGGTTTGACGGGGCAAATCGATATTTCCATTATCTCTAGGATTGCTCTGGGAGAAGGCAGGGACTGTGAGAATCTGTGAATTAAATCAATTTGGGAATTCATGAAAGGGTGCATTGACCAGGAGGACACACAAAGTATCGTCCCGCCACCCAACATTATTTTAGGAAGATACACAAACTTCAGAGTACAAGAAAATCAATTTGAAGGCTGGTTAAAAATGTGGAGTTCTGAGTCCCACCTCTAGAAGGGCCCAGGAATTTGCATTTAAAATAATCAAAAGTGACTTATAAGCAGGTTGAAAGTGAGCCCATCTTGCTAGACAGCAGATTTCATTGCACAGCTTATTCAGTTACTGTTTGTTTAAAAACAACAAGGTGAGGATCTGTATTAATGAAGAGCGCCAAAATTTAATGCATTTTGACTTAGTTACCAGAATACTTCTTCTTCTGGTATTTTTTTTTTTTCATAAAAATTGTTTGTAACAAAAATAAAATTAAAAAAATAGTTTAATTAACTTTACTGGAAATGCTCAAATCCATTTATAATTATAGACATGGCTTAAATGCTTTACAGCTTTGCAAATAAGAATTTGAGCTATTCAGTCTTGTTACAAACTGCATGAAAGACAGGAACAAAGTGTATTTTTGGATTGATCAAATGATGAGTGCAATTAATGTTTAGAAGATTTTGAATATTTCTGAGTGAGCTCTTGGTTTTCCATTTAAAAATACCTGTCTGACTTATCTTTTCCATCAACACTTGCTACAAGAAATATAATTTTATTTATTTATTTATTTATTTATTTATTTACTTACTTATGTTTCTCACTAAACTGTGAACAAGTTATTCAATTCTGATTGGGAGTCCTTCAATAAGATAGTTCTAAGAATTGACATTACAATTGAATTACATTGTGTTTATATAATTTGAAGATTCTCTAGATGGTGAAGTAGACAAACAAATCTTGGGCAGGTGGGAGGCAGAACTCTCTGTGGCTTAGACTTGGAACGTGACGAGGCTGCCACACTGGGAGTGGCACCAGGAACAGGGTAACGAGGGGCAGCTGTCATGGCAAGTGAGAGAGGGGCTACCCAGGCCCCCCATTCTCCCTGTGGGTCGGCTGAAGGGGACGCGTGCCCGGGGTCCTGGCACAGGGGCTTCCCTAGCTCTCTGGTGCTGAGCTCTGGGCTGTGGAAGCCGGTGAGGGCGGTGGTTGGGGTGGGGGCTCAGCAAACTGACTGAAGGAGAACCGAGAGTTTCTGAGACTAATACAAAACGTGTTGAATGCTAACTCTGAACCACCCATTTTCACTTCTGAAATCTAATAGCCCAGTCCCTCCTTTCTCCTGTGTCCAAAAATGTGCTTCTAGAAGACCAGAACGTTGAAGATGGCACGGGAGATTTGATCATGCTGTTTCTGGAAGTGTCATGAATGTGAAGTCCACTAGATGCTCACCGTGTCTGTACAAGCAGAAGGGCTCTAGGTCAAGTGAGCAAAGTCTAACTTGATCCATGAGAAGAGATTCCAGTCTACGTAATAAATTCCCAGTTTTGAAGCAAGTTCCAACTCAGAACCACTTTAATGAAGAGGAACTTGGGTAACCTAGAGGAAAGACCCCTTCTGTATAGTGACCCCCATTTGTATTGCTAATCTTCCCTCGTCTTTTCTAAAGAAGCTTATACCAGAGTGACTTTTTGTATTAGTTAGCTTTCCCTGGTAGAAATAATATAATATAATATAATATAATATAATATAATATAATATAATATAATATAATATAATATGATATATATAATAGTATAGTATATAATAGTATATACTATATAGTATTATATAATATATAATAGTATATACTATATAGTATTAAATAATATAGAATAGTATATACTATATAGTATTATATAATATAGAATAGTATATATAATATAAATATAATATATTACATATGTTATAAATATCTCTTTGATAGTTACATATAATAACTAT